GTTCAGCCTGGAGAAGAGGAGACTGAGGGGAGACCTCACTGCAGTTACAACTTCCCTGTGAGGGGAAGAGGTGGGGCAGGCACTGATCTGTTCTCCTCTCTGGTGACCAGTGACAGGACCCAAGGGAATGGCCTGAAGTTGTGTCAGGGGAGGTTTAGGTTGGATATCAGAAAAAGGGATGCTGGGCACTGGAACAGGCTCCCCAGGGAAGTGGTCACAGCACCAAGTCTGGCAGAGTTCAAGAAATATTTGGATGATACTCTTGGGCACATAGTGTGACTCTTGGGGGTGATCCAGTGCTGGACTTGATGATCCTTGAGAGTCCCTTCCAACTCAGCATATTCTGTGATTCTGTGTGATTCTGCGATTCTGTAATATAGGTTATATGAAATGAGATAAAGAGGAGAAATATAATTGAGTTTTCTTTTTATCTATAACACTTAGGTTACACAGGAGTGTCAGACCACTTGTGCGTAATACAGTTCTTCTTAAATCCTTACCATTTAAAGACTTTAGTATCTCCTTCAGAAATTCCTAAAACATATTTTTGGCAAATTACTTCATGGTTTTACTGCACTAGATTTTGGCATCTGGACTCCTGCTATAAAGAGCTCACTAAAAGTCATTAAGTTGTTTACAAATTAAATCAGTTCTTCCATGCTAAAAATTATTATGTCTTCAGGTCTGTGATCTCAATCTTTCAGGGAACTGAAAGTGTTAATCACATTGAAAAAAAAAGTTCTCTCTTTCCTGTGGGAGAGAATACTATAATATCCTGGACTTTAACAATTACCCTTGACATAAAAATGCTTGTATTTAACAGCCCTTGAGAGAATCCTACCCCCTTCACAGGACCTGCAAAGCACCAATTAGTATCTGCGAGAATTTCACATGGTATAGAAAAGAAATGATCTTGCCTGTTGTAATTTTTAATGGCAGCTCCTATTTCAGTGTTGTGGAGACACCCCCAAAGCAGAGACCAAATGGAGAGGACAGCAAAGGGACAAGATAAAATAATCTGTCACATGGCTACATGGTTTATGGCATTTAAATATTTTTTTCTCATACTCCTATCACCCACACATACAGTCAACAGAGAAAGGAACAAGTATCTGCAGTGGAAATTATGCTACTGAATTTCCAAGGACAGATGTAGGGCATTGACATGAGAAAGAAAGGGTCAAATAGCATTTTTAGATCACAAACTGAATCATATAATGCAAGATGATTAACATACCTGCGAAAAAGGACATATAGGCAAAGCAGCATGAATGATGACTTCATGGAATTTGTTTTGAATAATATTAGGGTTAACTCTAGTTCAGAGAAATAAACATAATCTCAGTGTACTTAGAGTAATAACTGCAAATTATGCTCTTAAAGAGCTGCCATAACAGATTCAGAAGCTGCCTCAGCATTTAGAGCCAACAAAGCATGGATAAGGCTAAGCAGGAGTAATGCTACCAAGAGCAAACTGACCTAGTCTCATCCCAACGCTTATCACGAATAACTTGATGTCTGCTAGAGGCTCACTGGGGGAAGAACCACAAATCCCAGCAGAAGCTAATGTGTGTCTGAGAAAGTACGTCACGTGTTGTGTGCTGGTAACCAGCCTTGGTGTGCCAGTAGAGGCCTTGGACATCCAATCAGCTAAGAGAAACTGATGAGCCGAAAAAGAATTTCAGGAAAAAGGACAGGAAAATATATGTGCGATACCAAGTACTAATAGCTTGTTTCACATTTTTTTCCAGAACACGGAGCTTGATGTTTATTTTCTTATATCACTTCTAAAAAGTGAAGAAAGCATGAGAGCATTCGAGGTGTTCAGGGAGCAGCTCACCCATCTCTATCAAATTATGCAGGTCGGTGGTTGGTCCACATTAAATATTGATAGAATAAATAATGTCTTTCAACAAAGACTTGGGTTACGTTAGCACTTGCTGAACTCATGGCAGACTTACACAATTCCTCATCTGGGTATAACCACGGCAGAAAATGAAACTAGGTAATAAGTTGATATGAAAAGTACATGTTTATATTATTTAATACAGGACAGATAATTGCCTTTGGTGGTCATGAAGTCTAATGTGGTTATTAAAGAGTAAAGTATGTTTCATAGCATCTACTTTATCAGTGATAAAGTATGATTTGATTAGATGGACTCAAGGGCAAGTAAATCTTCTGTCAGACTTGGAGACAAGCAACATAAAAGCCTCTCAGGCCCTGGCACAGTCAGTATTCAAATGATATTCAAATGGGTGACTAGAAATTGTCCTATTAAAGCTTTCTAATACATGGTTTCAAGTTTATCCTCTGGTTCACAATCACCAATTACTGCAGAAAGGCAACAAAAGACAGCAATATATATGTAAAAATTGAAAGCCCAGGATAAGTATATTAGGTCAAAACCTGCAGTCATTACTCTTCTTCCCCTCCTCCCCACATGCATATTTAGATAACTGACTTGCTTAAGCATCTTTAAATAATTAAACATCCTTAGCATTCCAGCAACTCTCAGGCTATTTTCAAACAAAAGATACATTTCCAGGCTTTCACAGGAAGCTAATAGCTTGGTCTGGCTGGGCCTGTGCTACAGAAAGCCATAGGAATTCCTCTGACTTGACCCAGTGTTCATTGTATAAATGAAGTGGCACATATTCATGCCAGCTTCTCTCTGACTAGGGCTGTGCAGATACCCAAATTATCTTTTAAGTCAGTGTCTACATCTTCAGTCTATTCAGTTAATTTGGATTATTTGGACTCAATTTCAGCTTTTTACGGCAAAGTGCAACTTAATCCTCAGGAAGCAATGGATTTCAAGAGGACTGCTTAGTTGATGCTGAGCAAGGGCAACAGTCATGAAACGGCAGTTTCTGCTTGCAAAAAATTCTCCTGAGTACCACCTACAGTATAAATGCTGACCAAAAGAACCAGACACAAACATACGGCAATTATAAGCAACAATAATTCCTCAACTATTATCTTAGTATGATGAAACACAATTTAAACAGCCTAAAGAGCTGTTCCCAAATGTGCATGTCTATACAGACATCTTAAACCACAAGTTACAGAAGTTATTGTATTTTAGAAATTGTTCTTAGTAAAGAAAATGGTACTACTATTGTCTTTAACAAGGCAGGACCAAGGCCTTGATAAGATGGAAACAACATTCCTCTGAAAATTCATAAGTCATTTCAGATAACATATACATAAATCCAAATGACAGGATGACTAGAAGTGATGTTATACTCACGGGGACTATGTTTAGAGAACTGGAAAGGGTAGCAAAGACATATATTTAAAATTAATTATGCATAAGAATTGCAAAGAGTAAATAGTATAAAGAAGATAGTGTCCTAAATCTATATATTGATAAGAGAATGCAAGAACTGTCTCCAGCCCAGCCAGTTGTTAGGAGCTATGAGAAATAGTTAACAGCATTGCAGGCCTTTGGAGGATGTGAAGGGGCCTAATGGCACAGACAGAGGAAACATTGGACTTACTGTGAAAGTGAGAAAACCCTCAGATTTGTGATAGGGGAAGATGGACCAGACTCTCATAAAGAATCCAATAGCATGTTTCCTCTATTCATAGCAATGCAAGCATTCAGGCAACCAAAGGATCAACGTACAGACTATGAACTCTCATTTTTGTAGAGAAATATAACTTTCAAGCCTACAAAAGCTTTCAATAGCTATATCAATGTAAATTATTGTGTCTGTTAACGAATATAGGATTGCTGCATCTCCCAGATAATCAGTCTGGCACCTTAAGCAAGCATTAAAACTATTTAGAAACATAGAATTGTTTAGGTTGAAAACCTTTAAGATCATCAAGTTCAACCATTAACACAGCACTGCCAAGTCCACCAGTGAACCATATTTCTGAGTGCCACATCTACGCATCTTTTAAATACCTTCATACTCCACCACTTCTCTGCACAGGCTGTCCTAGCATCTGACAATCCCTTCAGTGAAACAGGTTTTCCTAAAATCCAACCTAAGCCTCCCCTGGCACATCTTTGAGGCCATTTCCTCTTGCCCTGTCACTCTCCTGGGAGGAGACACCAACTCTCTACAACCTCCTTTCAGGTAGTTGCGGAGTGTGATAAGGTTTCTCTCCCCTGATCTTCTTTTCTCCGGACTAGTTAACGCAAATAAATCGATCTCCCATTAAAATTACATGTCAGCTTTTAATACATTTATTTTGTATTGGGTAAAAATTTGTCAATTCTTCCTTCTTGACATAAGAGGATCTGGTGCTTAGTGCACTGCCTTTGGATTCAGACCAGACTTCGATACTTTTATTTGCTACAGACTGTGCATGACCTTGGACTTAAATCTCTCTGTACCTCAGTAAAAGATAAAGCTGCTGTATTTTAAAGGCATGGTGAAGGGAACTAGACTTAAGACTGTGTGGATCTCAAATACGATCAAAGCAAACACTACACAGCTCACAGAGGCAGATAAATAGTTGATACATATTGGATGACTCAGCAACAGTGCACAACCTGAGTCCTGGCCAAATCCAAGTAATTGACCAGAATCAATGAGAGCGAGAAATCTAGCCTCCAAGGGGGAATAGGAAATATAAATAAACATGGTATTTCAGCTAAAAACATAATAATTACATTAAGCCCAATTTTTAAAAGCTGATTTTAAAACTATTCTGATGACATAAATTTCTATTTAGTTTGCTGCTTAATTTTTTTTTTATTATTGTTTTGTTTTTTGGTAAGGCAACAAAAGAGATTATATGTCAGTGAAGTGACCATTGTGGAAAAAATGGCAGATGTGGGTTTGTCACCAGAAATGATTCTATTGATTTTATTGAGTCTTTCAAGATCAGTGGGCTGTATTTGAAATTTAACACTCCTAAAAATTAGCATAGATGGTTTTGTCTATCTAAATTGAACTATACAAAAATAAAAGCATAAAAATTAAATTGAACTTAATGTCTTTTGACATAAAACATTAAATGTTCCTTTTTATTGAACTTACCTTGTATTCTGCATTTAAAGTCATATTGCAACATCTTAATTCATCATCATCTCTCTGAATCAAACATCAGGCTGCCTCTTCTCACTGTTAAATAATGGAGACTGATCCAACTGGCAAAGTCACCCCTGGAGAGAAAACAAAAATCATACGACAAGAATACTATTTTCATTTGCGTTTTTAATCACTGACATAGCATAAAATTAGGCACTGGAGGTTTCATCTTTTTAGTGACGAAAGTCAATTTTAGTGTCCTCAGTTCAGCACAACATTTTATCTGACTTTGTACTGTTAAGTCAATTGTTACCCCCTGGCCAATATAGCATTCAAGTTACAATGCAATTTCAGCACATGCTTCAAATGCTTTGGTTCAACAGGGACACAGCTTTCCAGTATCAGCCCTTCCTTATCAACACTGTGATTTTCCCTATTAATTCTATGTTTTGGAGATTATTAAAACATTACTCATGTAATGAGTAATCTTCAGCATTAGCTAGGCACTCTAATAAACTTTCATTAAAATATTGCATCACATGTGGTAGTAAAATTACATTAATAAAATAATCTGTCATTTAAGAGACAAAATAGTGAATGAAAATAAGCAGGTGTAATAGAATAGGATGGAATGAAAAAGAAAATAGCTGAAACAAATAGCTGCTAAATTCACAAGGTAGGAGTTTGAGAAACACAACACTTCAACCAGAAAAGGGTGACTGTCTTTTTTAATATTCAACAGTGGAATGAGTGGGCATTTGGGGTAGAAATGTGACCTAAAGACATAAAGGCTTTGGCTTTACAAGTCTTATCAGAACAGGTAGCAACTGAAAAAGGAAGAGGAAACCTGGAGATACATACGCAGTGTTAAAGGGTTGACAAGAGGAGACTCTCATTCTGCTTTTCTTCCTTACTTTGCCCTGGCCTGTAGTAACCTGAGACAATAATTTGTGAAACTGAGGATTTCCAGGGTGCTGTACAGAGGAGACAAAATATGATAAATGTCAAGTATATCAAATGGAAGTACTTACCTGGAATAGTTAAAAAAAAAAAAAAGGTGTTTATTTCCTAACTTACTTATATCTCCAAAAGTGTTGTCTGTGCTCTGGAATTGACCCAGTGAGCACTTTCTCTTAATTAAAAAGTGAGAAAAAAGTAGTAAGTGACCATTTACAACAAAGTCTGCAATTTTGGAGGAGAGAGGTTTTAGAACTTTTCAAAAATGTTTATATATGACATGAAATGGCTTTGGAAATTTGAGTTCAAAAGTGAAGAATGAACAAAGATGCTGTTTGTCAGGCAGATTGTTGTGCAAACTTTACTTTCTACAGTGAAGACTGATTCTTGGGTAAGAGTACACCTAATAGAGAGGGAAACCAGGAGTGACAAGAGCCAGGGTGCATTGATTCGTAACAGGTTTGTTAAAAACTGGTTCTTAATGTGTAATTAAGTGGTGGGACTCCTTTCCATGATATACTGCAAAGAGAAAAAGTTTATATGGGTTCGAGAGAGACTTGACAACTTAATAGAAGGAAAGTCCATCAAGGTTCACTGAATGAATAGAAACCAACTCTGCTACATGAAAAGTCTTTGAGCAGTAAGTGACGAAAGCCCTGAGGAGGATCAGTTTGCCCTCTTCTCTTCCCCCAGGTGTCTACCTCCAGCTGCTGGCTCATTTTTTTATTAATCTCCCTTTCTGTCAACAGCCATATTTCTATCCTATCCACAAACAAGTTTCCGTTCTCTAAGCGTTAGAAACAACAGAACAATTGGACTATTTGACTTCACTAGTTGTGTTCTAGTATATGCCTGCAAAATACACGAGAAGGTAACCTTGCAAGTAAGAATAAAGTCAATTTTTAGGAAATTATGCCTTAAATGACATTCAGCAATTTGAAGGCTGTAACTTAATTGCTCAAGGCCACAGTGTCAGCATGTGTGCGGGTACCACAACCTGCACAAGCCCTGTCCTGCCATGACTCAGCAGCAGCAAAGCCCTTTTTAGCAGCAGTACCACTGCTGTTTCATAATTAAAAGATCCGAAAAAGGTACAAAATAAATTCTTAATGCTGCTGCCTACTTTAATAACTCATTAAGGGCATAGATATTAGCCAGATCCAACTGTCACACATCATCAGGATTGAAAAAGCCATGATCTGTCTGGGTAAAATCTTAGAGAGCACAAAGAAAGCTGTAAGGGCTCTGGCAAAGGAAGAAAGCTTCAACTGGCTGTTTAATTTGTGTTTGCTAACCAGATGCTACTTCTATCTCATCTAAAGATACTTTCAGAAGAAGAAAAAAAAAGAAAATCCACTACTGCAACTTAAGTGACTCAGTAGTAACAAACATCACCTCTCTCCATGGGAAACAAAGTGTTGTACTTGTCAAAGCTAATCTTACGAAAAGACTGTGAGCTGAAAACATGTTGTCATGGGCTTTCCTTAACAGCCAGGTGACTAAACAAAATGACTGGGAATTCCTGCCTGGACAGCATCTGTTTCTTCATTTTGACCCATTCCCTCTCCGCTCCCTGATAATGAAGCCTTCAGCACCTGGGCTCCATGCAGCTGGGCACAGGAATTTTCCCATCTGAGTCAACCCAACAGAAGATTTCTAATTCTGGCTGTGTGCTGTGGAGGGACAAAGACCTCCACAGTGAGACTGAATTTCAAGTGAAAAATGTTTGCATTAACTGTCTCAGCCATGAATTCTTAAAACTCTGGGGAACAGAAGGACACTTCCTCCTTTTTTTTCCCATTCTGAAGAATAGCCTAATGCATCATATGACATTTGCTTCTTAAAATGCATCTATAAGAAATCTAATAAAAACTGTGTTTTCTCCCTTTATAATTACTACATGAGCAACATACACATAAGGCAATACAGAACTAGAGTTCATCCTGAATATTATTTCAGGTACCTTGCTGAAAATGTTCCATGCAAACACCAGTTTGGAGAAAGACAAGCAATTACAGTAGTTATATTATTTGTTTTAGATATAGGCCATTTAGCAGTATAAAAAGCCTTCCATCACTGAAGGAAGCTGTTTATATCTTCACCACTAATTGTAATGTTTCTGATTTTAACCATGCTCTACTGAAGAATTAAATATGTGCTAAAAATTAAGTATATATATGTTCTATAAAACATAATCATCAGAACTGAGAAACAAAGATTCAAGTTCAAATTGTTGGCCTGCCTGACACACGTTTGCTTGTTTTCCTTTTAGTCCTTCTGTCTCAACACAACTTCATCACTTTTTCCACCAGCCTCTGTTTCTGCTTCTGGACAGATTGTTGTTTCCGTCATTTCTTCTCTTAAATCTTTTTCCTCTCCCTCCTCTCCTCCTTTAAAGCAAGTAGGAAAGAAACACCTTTAGCCAACTCAGCCTGCAAGCCTTAAATCCTTCATAATTTCCCTGTGGCTTGTGGACTTTGTGAATAATGAGATCCCCTGCCACCAGAAACCGGATCAACTCTCTTTTTCATCACCTCCTGTCACCATGACAGTTAGGAGCACTCCTGAAGAAGACAGATAGCCAACCCAATGTGGAATCCTCTTTTTCCAGCTAAATCTTTTGTTTCCAACAACAAGAAATCTCAGAGCTTCTCAGAAAAGAGATCCGTTTCATCATACCGGGAAAATCTTGTGTTTAAGACACTGGCATGTGAGGTCTGGTGGGACCTCTCTTCCCATGTAGGAGGAACAACAGATGCAGGCTGCAAAAGAGGCAAGTGCCTTCCTACCAGCTGTCTGTGACATGGCTCTGTTCACTGGTGCAGATTGTTAAAGGTCAGAATAAGGAAAAAAGCCCACTATTTTCTGGAAGTTAGGAACTGTGCTTGTCTTTTGGATTGCACATCCCAAACACGAGAGTTATGGCCTGGACCCAATTCAAACCCACCATGTAACAAAGTCAGAGCTTGCTCTCTCTCAGATTACTTGTGTCCAGTCTGAGCACTACCAAAAAGTAGACAGGGCAATGGAAAAAACAAAAAAGCATTGAAATCCAAAAGTCATAACTCACTGATGAAATATGTGATTGCCAAGGCACTGAAAAACCTCTGAGGACCAGACCCTAACTGAACTTTTACAGAATCAGGGTAAGCCTCTGTTGAAATTGGAGTGTAATATCCTTCAGTGACTTCTTTAGCTTACAAGTACTTGCAACCTAGAGGTCTCAATTTACAGCTGTTTGAAAAATATGAAAATTAATAACAATTCCAGGTGCAAAATGCTAAGGAGCAATTGCTGCTAAAATCATAGCTCTGGTGATGAATCAGTGCATTTGGAAGCCATCCATGCTTTTATGGATCTGATTAGGGGTGACAACTTCTGCTGGTAGTGGCAGCAACAAAAGGCTGATTTAACTCTGAACTGTTCTGTGGATGAATTTCCAATTGAGCTCTCTGGGCACACCTACCAAAGCAAACCAAGAAAGAGAGAATAAGCAGTGTCTATGGCCTACTAGTAAGAAGATGAAGGAGGTGTGGCCCTAAACCACCAGACACAGAGTCATATTCGTTTCCTAATTTTTGCCCCTTTCCTTGGCTCCAGGCATTCACACAATGTTCCAGTTTTACAGGACTACAGCACATGGGTTTGCCAAAGGAAAAGAAATTCCAAGCCTGCCTTTTCATAAAGAAAATAGGGTTATCCTCCTAAAGTACATCTGCTGCTTCCTACTTTTATGTGCAGGCATATTAGAAAGAGGGTTTTGTACTTTTCCAAAGGTTTGAGACCTAAGCATTTCCAAAAAAAAAGTTATGAAGAGAACAGAATCAGTTTCCAAATAGAAATATTGAAGGACAAAGCACCGATGCCTGTGTGCTTGTTGCACTTGGGTAGCTTCTGATATTTTGAGCAAGAGGAACTCCTGCTGGAACAACTCTGCTCAGCGAGGGGAGCAAAGTGTAGACCCCCCTGCCCACCCAGGGGGCCAGAGCAAAGCAGCTCTGATGTTTTCCTGCTGATACACAAGTTTTCTCAAAAGCTCATTAAAAATGCTACAAATGCACAAGATCCAGTAGTCTCTGGGCAAACCCACAGCATTAACCAGTGTCACCTCATTGTACTAAGAAAAGAGTTTCTCTGTGGTATAATGATTTTTTTACTGTTTAGAATGCTCCACTGTTCTAGAGGGGGAATCTTGAGGTAGAACTCGCTTAATTTATGACAGAGGTTTCATGACTTGGATTCCATGATAGCAGGGAGCCACATGTGCAGACCTGTATTCCTCCAGCATGGTCAGGCCCAGAGGAACAATGATTACTCTGGTCTTATTACAGCTAACTTTCTTTCTGCTCTGAAAAGCAAGGTTTCTTTTGGTTTAGTAAATTAACTAGTACTTATGTATACAGAAAAGTGAGGGTCTTTCTTCTCTCTTAAGGATTTATGGAAAAAACAAAAAAAGAGAATATCCAACCCACATCTCAACCCACCCAGGAATTAAGATTTCTTATAGGATCTGAAAAAAAAAAAAAAGATGAACAACATGTTTGTAAATGTAATAATGTATGCCCATATGGAAGGAAAGGCTAAACTGCCCTTTTCTATGAAAGAAACTCAACAGATTGCCTAGAAATAGGCAGCTCCCGTTCCCTTTACTGAGGGAAGCAAATGCTATCCAGATGGAAATTATCAAATGAATCAAACAGACACATTTTATTCCCAAATGATCTTTGTTCTACTTATTACTCATTATACCAGGAAAACTTTTTTTCCTATAGCCCACATGCAGTAAAGAGAACACTACTTATCACTCGTTCAAAATATTCTGTGTTGAAGGTTTCCCCTGATGAGATATCGATCTTGACACACAAAAAGGGTGAGAAGAAAAGCATCCATCCTAAGGGGAACATTCATTTACGATCTCTGGAATCTGTTAATTCCCATTAAGCCCACACGTGACTGTCCTTGAAGCGCAGTCAGATCTGCAGCCGCTTCCTGATGCCCGGGGAGATGAAATGCTTCT